CGCACCACTGCTGAATCCCTTACTCAGGGCTTTTTTCCAGATTTAACCTCATCTTCACGAGCACAGAAAACTCCCACACACTATAACCAGAGATTATAAGTACTTATCTTCAAAATGCTCTCCTTTGCCAGCTCCTAGAAAGCTATTCACAGAGCAACACAACATGGTCAGTTCAGGAGAAAGCAAGAATCAAGGCTTCAGTACAGAGGAACAAGAAAGCTGCCCTCATCTGAGATTTGCTGGAACAAGGGGGAATCAAAAGCTTTAGAAACAAATCAAAATCACTGGAAAATGCTTAGACCTGGATACACACTTAAACACATGCAAGAAGGGTTTGCCTCAACCAATGACTACGTCTTTGTATAACTCTCTCTAGTAAAAGTAATGTGCACATTTCTATCCATCTTTCCATTTGAAAACATCAAAATACATTAATGAAATGAATGCCCAAACCACTACAATGGGAAGAAACTACCACCAGGCTCCTTTCATTAGCACAGAGTTGGCAAAAGTTCAAGACAAATGCTTGGGGAGCTGCTACTTTCAAGGGGTTTCCGCAAGTAGATTCTGATGGGAGATAATCAGATCCAAGCTTAGAGAAGATGATGAAACTCCCAAAATATCCAAAGGTGAACATTTGCTTGTTTTGAAGAACTGATTGGCATGGTTTCCACAACCTACAGCGATGTCCTCACATCTCACTAACCTTAGAAAAAAAGGATGACAATAACAAATAAAGAATCATAGAATGCTTAAGGTTGGAAGGGACCTCTAGAGATCATCTAGTCCAACCCCCCTGCACACGCAGGGTCACCTAGAGCACGTGGCACAGGACTGCATCCAAGTGGGTTTGGAAGATCTCCAGAGAAGGAGACTCCACAACCCCTCTGGGCAGTCTGTTCCAGTGCTCTGTCACCCTCACTGTTAAAAAATTTTTCCTTAAGTTCCTGTGGAACTTTTGGTGCTTCAGTTTGTGGCCATTACCTCTAGTTCTGTCAGTGGCCACCAGTGAAAAGAGGCCAGCACCATCCTCCTCACTGCCTCCCTTGAGGTACTTATAGACACTGATCAGGTCCCCTTTCAGCCTTCTCTTCTCCAGGCTGAACAAGCCCAGCTCCCTCAGCTTTTCCTCATACAGATCACCTTTTACAAATATGGAACCTGAGCAGTTTTGCTATTGGCAAGAGTATCTTCACAAGTATTCCCAGTTCAACAGCTGAAGATTCAGTGTCAGGCACACTGCTATTTCATTCACAAATCATTGCTGTTATAAATGAGTTGATGTAAACCTGGAAGGTTACAGTTTTCTAATGACCAAGGCAAGTCACATTTCCCTTGGCATCCAAAGTCAACGATCAGAAGGTTACCAGGCTCGCTCTGGCCCTTTTATTTCATACCAATAAAGTTAATGTTCTGCAAGAAACCAAAGACAACCTTGACTCATTTTTGGCATAACATAAACATGAACACAAACCAAATCATAATTCATACAAGGAGGTACAAGTCTATAAAGAAAACTGTTAGTCTGAAACATAAGTAGTAGCAAAGCACATCACAAATCAGTAACGGTTTGTTTTTCTTACAAAGGAAGAACGCTAATTCAGAAAGCACCGTCTTAACTTTAAAAGGCTGCCTCTGCAGAGTGCTTTTTAGCAATAAGAAAGAAGGAAGAGACAAAAACCAGACGTTTTTAACTACAGCAAGCATCAGAGATGGTTATTGTAAGGCCAAATACTGCCCTGTACTCCATCCTACATAATCCCCCTGCATAAAGATGAGACAGAATTGATGAATAGAACTGAGCTATAAGTTTTCCTCCAATTCTGGAAATACTTGACAGATTCTATAAATGTTATGTCCACAAATACTACTGTTGTGACCAAAATAACAGGTAACACACAGAATAGCAACCTAAGGAACAACCTTTCCAAAACCAAAGCCCTACCCTTTCAACATAAGGCAAAAATTAACATTAGACAGTGTTTCAAATCCACCATCCTGACTTCTGCATAAGCAAACTGGGAAACACTACTTCACAGGTTTTTTCACTATTACTATACACTGTCACCTACATGTCATAGCATTTGTCAGCTACTCACTAGCACTATAATCTTTTTAAGCTTCTCCATGACTAATTAAGCGCTCTTTAGCTAAGATAAGTTCATGGACACACACACAATTTCTAAGAAAGTTATTTTGAAGGGATATTAAACAGACGTGAAGAAAGGAATTTGCAAAACTGAAGGTACGTGGATGACTTACTGCACCAGCAGTCAAACAAACCTTTTTGATAAAAAAAAAGCATTCAAATAGCTTGTTTTTAAATGTAAATTTAGATTCAGGAACAGACCACTGACAAAGCCTTGGGTAACTGGTATAAATCCCAGCCATCCTTTATATTTACAATCAAATAATCAGAATTTAGCTCTGTGATAGCGATAGGTGGGACCAAAAACTAATAATGCGAAACACAGTAACATACAGGAATTGCAAGTTATAAAATATACCATTTTGCTCAACTTTCAGCAGGTCTCTTACAAGTCATTACTAAAAAAAGAGTCTCCTTATGCACAAAAGAAAAATACAGGTATTCTTCTGTAACTTTGGATACCAAACCTTCCTCCAAGCTAGATGATGAGTGTGCCGTTACCACTGCGATTCCTGTCCTTTCTCCCAACGGAAAGGGGTTAGCCGACCACACCAGAAAGCTTCTAAATTCCTTTGAAGTTGAAAATAAATCTTCCCCATAGACACATGGTCCTAGAATTTCTCACTGTTGTTCCAGTTTCTGTTAAGCCAGATTTAACTCCCTCTTCACATCTTTAGGACACACCGAGGATCAAATATTCTAGCTTGGCGGAAAGAGGCATCGTACAGCAACACCCAAGCCTGAAAAGCTCACTTCAAATTACTTCTGCCAGCCCTGGACCTGGTGGGAGGAAAAAAGTCCCAAATCCCAGCAATCTTCAGGATTATTTATTTCACACCAGTTGCTTAGAGCCTCAAAGGCCTGCTATAACACCCAGGTGGGTGAAGAAAACAAGCCAAGGTGCTCTGAACATGCGAGGCGATGCCGCTCTGGGACACAGGGAAGCGTGGAGGCACCGCAGCAGCTCCCTGCCGGCCGGGACGTCCCCAGGCAGCCGGGCGAATGGCAGCAGCCGCCTCTGCTCCTGGTGAGGGAGGTACACGAGGAAACGAGGGGGCACCAAGACTGGAGCCGGTCAGAAACGCTCCCAGGAAATACAACCCAAACTGGCTTATTCCTTCTAAAAGACCCCACAGAGGGAGGTCTTGGGCAGCCTTCTGTGCCTCACGGGTGAACTGCAGGAGCAAGGGCATGGCATGGAGCAGAGTGACGCCAACACCTTTGATTGCAATCCACCAAATGGCACCGGCGCTGTGCTCTCACGCCTGCTCTCCTCCCCGAACAGAAGCACCTTTTCTCCCAACCCATGTCCTCGAAGCACACAATGCAGCAGAGGGGCAGCGACACACCACACACGGCCCAGAAACTCCTCTCCTCCGTTTAGGACCCTTTTGGAACCCGCTCTCATCTGCTCGCACACGTGACAGTTGGAAAAAGAGAACCACCACTTCACTTCACTTAACTGAAAACCCCACACAAGCAGCTTGCCAGCCACATGGCAACCTGCCGGGCTTTTGCTGGCTGCCTTTCTTTAATCCTCCTTAATCCAATTCATTGTCTTAAAGTGGTGTCTCACTTAACACAAGAGCTTCATTCAGGATTACTGCTCAAACACAGCTCCCAATGCCAAGGTCTCATTCACAGCACGTGCGCAGGCGTCCGCTTGGCCTTTGTAACTGTGCCGCACTGTCAGCAGGCACTGCTTAAAACAGCAGTCGATAACCTCAGATGTCAACAGCACCAGCACTTCCTGTATTTAATTAAAGGAAAGTCCAAGCATTTTGGTTGCACATAGCCCTAAGCTTCAAATCACGTGTTGGAAACATACACAGGTTACAATCACTTGGTGAGTGCTTTACCTGAATTAAATCATGTGCAAGAGGAGCTCATTCCAGGGGCGCAGGGCTTTGCCAGCTGGGACTTAGTGCAAAACAGAATCAAATTATTACCAGCTCTGGCACGTGACCGCGAAAGAGACACATATTTCAAAGAAGGGCTACTTGCTGTGGACTTGTTCATACGATTTCTCTCCTACACAGCAGTAGGAAACCCACTACGTTAATCTTGCAGGATGTTGCAGTCATGTTCCACCACTGCTCCTGCTACTTAGGGAGCACAAGGTAGGTATTGTTAGCTCGCGTTACCGCATGATTGAATTAGCGAATGGTATGTGTACGCGATGTATGGCCACCCTTTCAATATGGGATTTGTGCACCAGGCCGGTCGCTGCATCTGCTCAAGCCACAAGGAAAATATCACGCGTTTCTGACTAACACAGCACTCGGGCAAGCACTGTTTTGAGAACCAACCAGTTTTAGATGCAAACTACTCGAGTCTTTAACGATACCTTCAGATGAAATGGAATTGCAGGTAGAAAAATAAAAACAAACAAACAAAAAGCACAAGCTTATTTAATAAACAAGCCCTTTAAAAGTTAAACTTGTTATTAATCACGGCTATAGGGCAGCCTGGGAATTTGCTGCACATGCAAACAGAGTGTGATACTGTGGATGCCAGATTCTACGCTCATTCAACAAGAGCATTAAAATAGCTTCATTATTAACTGTTCCATTTGTATGGCCTCATAAAATTAAAGGCAGCCAAAAAGCAGGTATGATTTCTCTCTCTTTTGTATTCGCTGGATTAAGGACTTTGCTCACCAAAACAGAGGAAATATGTCAGAGTAAAGCATGAGGGCCACACAAATCAAGCACACACCAGTGGTGTTTCTAAGAGATTTCAAAAAATAAACTTCTTGAAATGATATCGTAACTACTGGGTACCAAAGGCAACAAAATCTGCTTGCAAACTGACAAAATATCAGACAAACATGCCATTGAATAAGTCTTACCAGACCATCACAATTGCTAATAGCAACAGAAGCACCAGGGATGTCAGTTATGTCTCCAACGTAAGCACAGTTGGTCCACAGGGGCTCTCTTTTCCATAACCTCTCCGCAGTACTTCTAGTCTGACTTGTGTTCCCAGCATCGTTTCCATTTCCAGTTTCCACAGAGTCTTCATACCACTCCACTACTGCCTCAGGAGCCACCAAACGGGTGTTGGGTTTCAGCCTGAGATGAAACTCCCTTCCAAATGCCGTGATGTTAAAATACAGTTGTTTGGGGCTTTGGGATATCTCCCTTGTTGATCTTCTTTGGTGACTTGCAGAGAGGATATTGGAGATATAGCTTCCGTCTGCATTGGTGCTGATTGGAATCACTAACCCGTACGGTCTTGGTCTGCTTTTTGGTAATTCTGCCAAGAAAAATATTCAAAACCAAGCTAATATTAGAATGACAGGATTGAACAAACCTAAAGAACGAACAACAGACACAAGGACATATAAGCGTATATGCAAAGATATAACATGCCATAACTTTGTTACAGATTACAATCTTTTCAGAGAACACCTAAATTGCAGTTAATTTATACAGTACACCACTATTAGTAAGTTTTCAGGCCTAATTTCAAATGCGATGCTTGCTAGCTACCCTGCCTCCCATGGTTCATCCCCTACTAAGGTTCCCTTTAAGAATTCCCCTAAATCTTCATCTCAAGAGCTGTAGCAGAAAACCCGTGCACATTAAACAGTGTCACTTTCCACGCCAGCCATGTCACACCGCTATGTGCCCAGTTACCTCCTTGCCAACCAGTGTGGATGCAACAAGCCCATCTAGTGCAGGCAAATGGGAGGTGCACGTCACTGCTCTCCCTGCTTCCTGCACCCACACTGCTCCTCCTCCCTTGGCTACCAGTGCACAGGCGCTGTAAAAACAGCACGGAGAAGGGATTGCTGGAATACCTCCGAGCAGTCCTCTGGCATCTCCAGCTACCCAGTTAGGCTGTGCTGCGGGCAATCAATTGCTCAGAAAAGTTATTCCAAGGCTAATTAACTTACCAGTGGCGCCCGCCAGGTAAGCAAAGCCAGAACACAACGTAGATAACAGCAATGAAAGCCACACTGGCTTATCATTTACTAGTGATCCTCACCGATCCCATTGGGATTTCTGTCTCATTAGCAGCAACATTAGCTGACTGGTAAACTTCTAATTGGGGTCTGAATTTCCCTAAGTGAATACAAAACTTGCTTTAAAAGTCTTCCCGTTCTGTACAGCAGTCCCTTACTTGCAGCCTGGAAATAGGACTCAGCCTGAGAGAGTAAATTTTTCCCTCTCCACTCTCCTGCTATTCTTAGACATTGATGAGAAAAGCAAGATGATTTTCTTTTCATACAGTAGGGATAATACATCTAATAGGAATTTAACCGTGAACATTAGCCAGCCACCCTTAATTCCCGAGAGAAGGGCGTAATCCAGCGCGCCGCTGGCGCGGCGCTCCCAGCTCCAACTCAGGTACTGCTCAGTACAAGGGGATTTGACAGCAGAGCAGTGGTGCCTGGTGCTGGCAGGAGACACGTGCACATTTAAAACCTGCCACATCAACACCTGCACACAAGAGGCAAATGCTACATCCTAAGCGAGTGAAAAGGTCCTAATAAGACACATGCTCTGAAAACTCACTCCATGTCCTACAGCTACCAGTCAAAGTGGGTTCTCCAGGAGCAGCCAACGCAAACATCTCGCTATTACACCACTAAGAGGAGGTTCTAATACTGCTATCCCTAATTGCATATAGCTTTCATTTAAATCACTGGGAATTTGGGGAATTAAGAACTGCTGACCCAGCTCCTTAGCTATGGCACCACATCAGAACCCTGGGCTCCTCTGTACTAATTAGTCAAGGCCAACAACAAGGGAGACGACTGCTGGGCTGCGGCTCCTAACCGGGTCACAGCAGTCCCCCAGATCCTCACGTTCCCCGA